GCCCTAGGTCCTGTGGGAGGGAGAAGAGCTAAGCTAGAAGTCGCTGGGCTCTCAGCAGCAGAGTCTTGCAGGAGAATTACAGTTCACCCCTCTAGGAATCTAGCAGCCCCTCCAAAACTTCTGCCCTCCTCCCACAGCTGTATGGGGGTAGCTCTTCTCCAGAGCACTGGGTGGTCCTTTGTCTTTGGCTGCAGCCCTGAGATGAACACTTGAGCACACTGGGCAGGCTTGCTGGTGATTCACAAGCTTTGCTCTGCACTACCAGCTTCTTCTCCCCAGGCTACCCCCAATATTGCTTGCAACAGTCATTCTTAAGAAAGGCGGGAGCTTGCCTGGGCTCAGCCGCAGCTGAGGCGGGCCCTTTACTTATCTCCCTAAAAGAACCAGCAAGGCAGACCTAGGTTTTATTCCATGTGACTTGGGACCCCTGTGATATTATGCAAATCATCTAGTCTCCCAGAGCCTTGGTTTCCTCATTTTAAAATGGGGTAGAAGTAGCATCTTTCTCATGTACTTGTGAGGATTGATTGAGACAATGCACTTAACCCAGAACCTGGCATAAAATAGCTTCTTAATAAGTCATATCTAATATTTTTAGTTGTTCTATGGACTTCAGTTTCTGATTTGGAAAAATAAGCATAATAACAGTTTAAGCTTCCTAACGTTGTTATAAGAGATAATGAGGTAATGTATGAGATAGCAGTTATGAACGATTCCCTAACAATAGGTGAAAAAATGAGACCTTTCCTCAATTCCTAAATCAGACAATCGTCATCTAAGCTTTTAACCGCCCACCTTATGGAAAATTTAATCTCATTTTATGTTTGCTGGCTTCCTTTCACTCTCTTTTCCCACAATTTAGCGTCTTGCAAAAAGCCTCTGTCGGTTTTATGTTGAACAGACTATCTGGGCGAGAGGAAGGCCTGGGCTTAGAGACCATGCTGGGTTATGGGATACGCCCCTTGCTCAAGCCAGTGCTCCCCCTAGGTGGCGCTGCTCTGAGGCTCCATTGCAGGGTCTTGTAGGAGTTTGAGCCAGGGTAATCTTTCTCCCCTTTCCAAAGACTCAATTCATAGTGGTCCCTATTCTGGGCCCCCTGTGAAAGTGGGGTCCAGGCTCTTTTCCTCCACAGAAACCCCGTGATAGGTAGAATTTTGGCTCCCATTACCTTGCCCTCTGGTGTTACTCCTGTGATTATGGCAAAAAAAGGGACCTTGTGGATGTAAGTAAGATTAATAATCAGCTGACCTTAAAGTGGAGAGATTATCCTGGGTTATCTAGGTGGACCTAATCTAATCACAGGAGCTCTAAAAGGCAGAGATCTTTCTCAGCCTCATAATAGAAGGGGAAGTAAGAGATACGAAGAATGAGAAAGATTTCACAACAACTTCATTGGCTTGAAGATAAAGGGGTCATGTGTCAAGGAAACAAGGGCCTTAGTTTTACAACTGAAAGGAATTGTATTCTTCTAATAACCTCAATGATCCTGGAAGCAGCTTCTTCCCCAGATCTTCCAGGAAAGAGGCCAGCTCACCCAACACCTTGATTTTGGCCTTGGAGGCCTTGAACAGAGGGCCCAGTTGTGCCCACTGTGCCGGAATTTCTGCCTCACAGAATTGTGAAATTATAAACGGTTTCTGTTTTAAGCTGTTAAACTCATGTTTATATGAAACACGTTATGGCCACAAAAGAAAATGAATATAATACTCAAAAATCCATTCTTTTTCTTAGTCTTGGGGAATCTCCTCTCCTCAGGTTCAGAAGCTCCTGCTTCTTCAACTCTAAGCCCTCAAAGACAATTAGGCACAATTCACCTAGAACCCCTGGTTGTCACAAACAAAAGTTAGGGTAGAGAGTTTCTGAAAATTTCTATTTTTGACTCTATAATTCAAAAAGCTTTGGGGCACCTGTGTGGCTCAGTTGGCTAAGTGTCTGACTCTTGATCTCAATGCAGGTCTTGATCTCAGGGTTGCAAGTTTGAGGCCTGTGTTGGGCTCTGTGCTGGGCATGGGGCCTACTTAAAAAAAAAAAAAAAAGCTGTCAGTCTAGGAGATACAAAGATTTAGTTACTTTCTTATGATGGGAGGAGGGATGAAATGGACAAAAGCTAAATGAGTATCTCAATAAAGTTTCCTGCCACATATATAAGTACTTAGCTTAGTATTTAATACACAGTAACTAATATTAATATTAACATTCTGCCCATTCTGCCTGTCCTGACCTAACTCTATCCAGTTTGATCCCAAATTGTCAAAACAGTGTCTGTCACGCAGTGATGGAAGTCACTCCAGCGCTAGAGGACCCCAGCATGGAGTTGCTGATATTCAAGATGTCTTCTGGCAAGCTGGCTCCACCATGAGGAATCCTCCTCAACCTGGAACTGCAGGGGCAGAGCTAGACACACCTCTGGCCCCAGAAGAGTTTTGTTTCTGCATCCAGGACAGGGAAGATGGCCTTGTGTTGTAGACCAGGATTCTACGGGAGTAACAGGAGCCACCTCTTCTAAGAGAGCCTTTTCTTGGAACAGGTGTGCACACTGTGTCAATGGAAAGCTTATTCTCAGCTCCCTAAAGCCACCGGGTACCACAAAAATGGCCTGAATAACATACCCACCCATTCTAGCTCAACACAATTTGAGGGCAGAGATGGTAGGAGAATCTCTTAAGAAATCGACACACATCTTTCTCCAACATTGGGCCTTTATCTGTTTCAGCTCCTATCTCTTTGGTTGCCAAATATCTATCTGAGGACACACGCTGTGTCAGGCACAGTTTTGGCCCTGAGGAGACAGAGATGAACAAGACAGACTGAGTGCCAGCCCTCATATTTTGTGAGGAAGAAATCGCAAATAACCACATCTTTTTAAATGAATTAATGTGTAATGATCCTTGTAGTACCTCCTGACCCCTGGATTCCAGCCGCAGCCTCAGTTCCTATGGCTAGCTGAGGAAGTTTTGTTCCCAGTGTTTCATGTCTGGGTGCATCTATGTCGCCTGCATCCACCATATCCAAAAGGTTGTTCAGTTTTGAGGACACCACCAGTTCTGAGGGACTGTCTCCATGACTACACATCAGCAGATGCTCCCACTCATCCTGCCCTGACAGCACTGAGGGCCCGACACTTCATTTTCTTGTACTACCTGTAAGAATTATTCTTGATATTCGGTAATTGATGATTTAGCATCGTGAAATCATGGCCCAACCTGATCGCCAGAGTTGTTTACATCTCCTCTATGGTCTCGCTTTCATGGGTTCTTGAAAATCATATTACAAGCTCTCCAACCACAAGCTCCCAAATCTTTGCTTCCTGCCCAGTAGGGGATGTCCCCACCTAAAACCTTTCCAGCACTAGTGTAGTAAGAGTTTTTTTGCCCATGTTTTTCCCTTGCTCCTTCTCCTTTCTCACCACCATGGTGCTTCCCTGTGTGGCCCTGCATGGGGAGGGGTGCCCCTTCCTCTTGGGGACCGTAAATTCTTTTTTTTTTTTTAAGATTTTATTTATTCATTTGACAGAGACAGCGAGAGAGGGAACACAAGCAGGGCGAGTGGGAGAGGGAGAAGCAGGCTTCCCACCGAGCAGGGAGCCCGATATGGGACTCTATCCCAGGACCCTGGGATCATGATCTGAGCCGAAGGCAGATGCTTAACGACTGAGCCACCCAGGTGCCCCAGTAATAAATTCTTCTTTCAATGACATTGACCTCTATGTGTCATCACTCAGTCATATTGATAAATTAAATCCAAGGTACGTTTTAAAATGCCACCTGGCACAGCTTAGACCAAAGACTGGCCAGGACCTGGAGGAGCTAAAGTTGTGACCAGGGTGAATGTGATTCGGAGATGATACCAGATTCCTCCCCAGAGACCCCACAATACTTTCTCTGCTCCAAGCCTGCAGGCCTCCCTCCAAGTATGCCAGAATTACTTAAAGACTCCCCAAACACTAATCTCCAGTTGGTCCCAACCAGGATGTTCCACTCCACCTAGTCTCTATCTGCCACTCTGTATTTTGAAATACCATATAGAGGGAGGGCTGGATTTCTGGCAGCACCAAAGCCAGCTTGAACAACTGACAGGATGGGGCAGGGCCAGGTGAGTGGCCCTATGAGCTCTTCTCCCCTTGAAATCAGTCCCGAACATGGGGTAGCCCTAGCCCCTGGCTCCAGGGCTGGGCCAGAGGAAGGAAGAAGGAGGAAAGGTGTCTGCTCTGGTCCACTAAGCTAGGTCAAATCACCCAGAGTTCACAAAGTTAAGGATACACACTCTGGAATGAAATATAATCATCAGTGTGTATATGTGAATATATCTATGAAAGCATGTGCACTCTTAACAACAGTGTGATGCATAACCCAGCTTTGCCTTGGCTCAGCACTGATTCTCAATTCATCATGTACCCCAGCCCCTTTGAATCAAACCTACCGGCTACTACACAGCCCATGCCCCTCGCCCCTGTGACTCAGAATTCAGACAGAATTCATCCTGGCCCACCATTGGCTTCGCCTTTTCCTGTCACTCCCATAAATGCTTTTTGAGGAAGCAAATACTTTATTGAAGGGCAACTTGCAGGTTACATTTGTGAACTTCCCATATGGGAGGCATTTAAAGGATATCTTCGAAGAAGAGGGCTCTGGGTGTGTTTCTGTGTGTTCACAAGTGTGTGCACACCCGTGGAGAGCATCTGTGCGTCTATGGTGTGTGAGTCTCAGTATATGGGTCTTTATGAGGTGCATGAATGAATGTGTATATATTATGTGGGTTTACGACATACCTATGTTTGTGAGCAAGCGTATATGTTCTGAAAATGGAAACTGCGGAGTATTTTATATGGAATGCAGCCTTAGGTGCAGTATGTTTATGTGCAACTGTGTGTGTGTGTGTGTGTGTGTGCTCGCTGGGGAGTGGGGGATAAATGGGTGCTATACTCCTATACCTCTAGGTGAGCATCTACACCCCAATTCACTCCCATCTCTGTACCTAGCAGACAGGATGGCAGAGTTTCTGCAGGCAGGTTTTCCTACAACTCTGGATTCCCTTGGAGGAATCCTAGGGCTAGGAAGGGGTCACTCTGGGTCTGGGGGTCCCTCCTGGCCAGTCCTACCCTCTCCACCCTGAGAAGTTCCCTCCCGAGACTCGCCCTCATCATCGGCTTCAGCCAGGTCCTCAGGCATTGGCCACTCTCGAGTCTGCCACTCGAGCCGTTCGATGCGGTAAGCGATCTTGAGTGCGCTGGACTCCAGCTCGGCCAGGAGGCGAGCGAACTTGGTCTGTAGATCATCGAGTTGCTGGTCAAGGCCTCGTAGCCGGGACTCTGTGGCTTCCTGGAGGGCAATCTCAGCTGCCTCGGCATTTACGTCCAGCTTGTTCATTTTGAGCAGGATCTCACGGCCCTTTTCCTCCATGACGACCTGGGCCTGGGGATACTCGCTCAGGACTTCCCGCAGGTCCTCCTTGCTCAGGCAAAACAGGTCTGAATACCCCAGACTCTTGATATTGGCTGTGCGGCGGTTCCCAGACGTGTTCCCTGTGGCCCATGGGCAGACACATGTGAGGACAGTTAGGATAATTGTGGGGGTTTTTCAGTCCTGAAAGTCCCCGTCTCCGTATTTCTGCTTTTGGGCCGCTCTATTAATTCTTTCATTCAGTAATGTAACTGGGGACCAGGCCCTGTGCTGGGTGGGTAATAGTGATCTGCCTGCAAGAATTCATAGTTTAGAGGCAATAGGCATTTAACAGGTTAGTTACAAAACAGTGTAGCTGCTGCGGTGTAGACATATGTATGCATCCAGTGTTGTGGGAAGATAGGTAAAGAGCCCTTCACAAGCTGGCAGAAACTTTTGACTAGCTTGGAGGAAGTGATGCCTGACTGAGCAGGAGGTCAGAGGGGAAGGGCAGGGGGAGGGGCAGGGTGACCTCCCAGCAGAGGGATGGGGGCAGGAGCCAGTTAGGTGGCTGGAGCAAACTGTAAGCAGTCCAGAGTGGCTGAAGGACAGGGTGGGAGGAGAGTGGAAGGAGGAGGGGAGGACGGAGCAGGCTGGGTGTGGCAAGCGACGCCAGGGAGTTCAGACCTTATGCTGAGGGCAGTGGGAAAACACTGAAATATTTTAAGTGGTGGACCTGTATGGTATCATTCACATTTTAGGAAGATATTGGTGAGGGGTTGTGGGGAAGATTGATTAGGCTGAATGCTGCAAAGCTCAGAGCTAGAAGGACTCAGAAGGAGCATAGGAACTGAACACTTGCTATGCACCAGACACCGCCCTGAGGCCTTACCCACAGAACTCCTCTGATCCTCACAGATAACTCTTTGGGTTCTTAAAATCACCCCTGCCGGAGAGATGAGAAAACTGAGGCCTCAAAAAGGGAAGTGACTTGTCCAAAATCATGTAAACAGCAGCTGACCGCATCCAGGAAGTGGAGCTTGCAGGGTCCTTTGGAGGACAGATGTGAGGCCTTTGGAACTAGTTAGAGAGTGAAATCCCCAGGCTGACAGCCTGTGTGGCTTCGGTCAGTGACAGTGCACTACCCCCCCCCCCCCCCCCCTTGCCATGTTCTTCCATCTCCTGGAGCCTCAGTGCCTTTGCCTGTGATGAGGCATGCCAACAACGCCTACTGCACAGGCGGATAAAAGGAATCAATGAGCCAGTGTGCAGCACCTGGCCTGGCCTGGAGTTGGTGGAGTGAATGGCAATGCCTTCCTTCTACCCTCCTTTCCCCTTGGCTGTGAGAAAGTTCCTTGTACTGACTCCAAGTGTGTGTCCATATTACCTCAATGACCTTGGACAGTTTCCCAAACATCTCTGTCCGCCAGTTTCCTCACCGTGAAAGTACAGATAATAGTACTGAGTTACGGTGAGAATTGAGTGAGTTGGTACACGTGAAGCACTTTGAACGTGGCATGTAGTTAGTGTGCAATAAATGTTATCTATTCTTATTCTTATCATCTCTGTCACTTTCCACTGATCTGTTGGTATCTCGGGTTGACACCACAGAACAGATCTACCTCCTCTTCCCAAGAAGCCACCCACCAGCCCTGTCCTGGAACAAACGCTGAGGTGCCCACCTTTGATGTTGATGATGCTGATCTCCCCAAAGTAGAGCCCCACACCGAGCACAGCATACTGTGTGACGCCATCATCTGCCACCACGGCCAACTGACCCTCACGGATGATGTACATCTCTCGGCCAATGTCCCCCTTGCGGCAGACGTATTCGCCTGGTGAATAGGTCTGGGGCTGTAGCTTTAGCACCAGCTCTTCCAGCAGGCTGGCCTCACAGTTCTGGAAGATCTGCACCCGGCTCAGAGTGGACAGGTGTACGGACACAGCCACTTCTGCCCGCAACCGCTCAGGCAAGTGCTGTAAGATGGCTACCTCATTGGCCATCTCCTTGTTGATCTGCAGGTGCTGGTACCTGGGGGCAAGGGCAACAGTAGTTCCTCACCAGCCCCCTAATGCCTGCCTCTATTCCTTCCATCAGGGTTCAGCTAAGCTTCGGCCAAGGACCCAATCACCCTGAGATCTCACAGGGGTCATGGGAACACTGGATAGTTGGCTGATGAATATCTTCACTCCAGGATCACTTCACAGATATGTTTTGACCTCTTCTTCCTCACCCAGGGCCTGAAAGCCTCCACCAGTTGACAATGAATAAGACACCCTTTATCTACTGTCAAGTTTACCCCCCCCCACCATTCAGCAACGCCTCATAGCATCCCACTGATACCTACTTCAGTCATTGAACCCTGTAGCTAGAGGCCCTCTGCTTTAGCTCCTAACTTGCTGACATTTCCTTTTGTTCATCCTATTGTATGGACACGTATGACATAGTCAACCATCTTGTCGGCCATCCCATGGGAAGTATGGCTCTTCTCCCTTTACCCCTTCCAGGGCCTTCTGAGCCCACCCAGGCAGTGGCAGTTTTTATTCCAGGTTATCCTTCCTTGGGTATGAGTGCCTCTCCCTATCAATCTCTTATCCAACCCAGACCCCTAAGTCCAGATGCAACTAGTAGAAGACATTCTTTTCTAAGCCCCACCCAGCAACCCCCCCACCCCGATGAATGCCATGCCCTAGTTGCCCTGCCTGGTCCGCTAGGCAATAAGGACCCAGCCACCTTCCTCAGGCTTTATCCAGAACACCTCTCCGTGTCCTGGTCTGGGGCCCCAGCATCCTCACCAGTCAATAACTCGCCGCTCCAGCTGGCGGTTGACATTCTGCTGCTTCATGTACATCTTCACCAGTGCGTGGTCCGGGTAGAAAGCTGCATCTGCAGTGTTCATGTTGTAGATGACAGAGCTCATGCTCCCCATGATGGTGGCAAAACCCATGACAGCCAGCAGGAAGTCGCCCACCATGAAGAGGTACTCTTCCTCCCGCGCGGGCAGCGGTATATCGCCCACGGTGGTCAGGATCAGTGTGGAGAAGTAAAAGCTGTAGAGGTACTGGCGCCGCAGACGCTCAAAGCCAGGCTGTGCGGGGTCAGGGTACACCCAGGCGTCACGCCCGAAGCCCAGGTACCGGGACAGGGCAAAGTATAGGCAGCTGTTCCAATGGATAACAACAAAAATGTAGAGCATCAGCTTGGTGATGCGAAAGACGTTTGGGTAAGCTGTGCGGGTCTCTGTGCGGTCAAAGGCCTCAAAGAGGCGGGGCACACGCAGAAAGCGGTTCAGCCTCAGCATGGGGGTGTGTGGGCCCAGCCACACATAGGCCACATCTGTGGGCATGAGGGAAACCAGGTCCAAGAAGAAGCTCCAGGTGCGAACATAGTGACTTGAAATCCTGCCCTTGTCCTCCACCAGGATGCCCTGGTCCAAGAATCCTGGGGATGGGGAGGCGGAGACAGGCTGGGGTCAACCATGAGAAGGGGTCAGGTATGGGGCTGAATCAGGCCACCTGCCTGCTGCTGTAATAAGGGTGAGGGTGGGCAGGCCAGGGTAGGACAGGGAGACAGACATGGGGACAGGGTGGGGGTGGGCATAACCTTGCTCCAGGGTTTCTGGAATGGGCACAGGGGTGTTGTGAAGCATGGAGACATGTGAAAGTGCTCTCAAGGAGAGGGTCACTTCCTTGTGGCTAAGAGGCCCTCTTTAGGAAGGTAACATGGAACAAAGGGTCAGCTTTGGGCTCACTGACCTGTGTGGAAGTGTACCACGATATCCAGTAGGTATAGCAGGTCACTTGTGTAGTCCAGCACTAACCAGGCCACCAGATAACTGTGTTGCAAGTCAGGAAAGCAGGCTCTGTGTGGCGGGGACAGAAAAGATTGGCTCAAGAGCACCCTCTGTGTAAGGCAATCTCCCCACGGCACTCAGCACTCTGCCCTGGGCCCTCTCTTCCATGCTGCCCCTCCTTCCGGCCTGGCCCAAGGGCCTGCCCCTTTCCTTGGCCTGACCCTTGAGCCCTTATCTCTGCTTAAGGCCCTTCTTTCAGCATCCTTCCAAACCTGCACACGATGATGACGAGGTTATACATTACTGGGAAGACCATCGTGTTTAGCCACCAGTAGTAGTAATCCCCAGATGGGTCTAGGACAGGCAGTGACTTCCTGTGGAAGGAAGAGGAGAAGCAGGGTTTCATTTTTTTCACCAGACATTCATTGTTGAGTTTGTCACCGGGGACATCAAGAAGAATCAGGCTCCATCCAGTTAGGTGGACAGATTGGACGCAGGGGACCAGGATCTCTCACCTGGTCTTGGATGGGGCAGAGGGGCTGGACTCTGTCGTCTTCACTTTGCTGTCCTGGCTCATGCTTCCGTGGCCTGGTGCCTGGATGTGGAGTATCCAGGGCCTCTGCCTATAGTGCCTGCCTGCCTGCCTGTCTGGAAGAGGCTGCCCTTGGTCTCCCGCTGTGACTCCTCTGCCTCTGACTTCTGAAGCTCTTAGCAACACAACCAGGGCCAGCCCCTACTGAAGGTGCAGAGGCAGTGTGGCCCCAGCACCCCGCCCTGTCTCCCAGGGCCTGGGCTTACACCTGCCCAGCTAAACATCTCTAATGAGGTCCCTGGAGAAGGTGGGGGTGCATACCTCAGAAGTAAGGCTGGGCCTTGTTTCTTCCCCCACCCTGCCAAGCTGCATGACTTAGGGGTCCTCTAAGTCAGGAGAGGGGGCTGCCAGTATAGGCTCAGACAGTCATTCTGTTTTACTTTGTGCAAGTTCTCTGCTTGGGCCTCATTATTTATTCATTTAACAACTATTTACTGAATGGCTCCTTTGTGTCAGGTGCTGAATTAGTCTCTAGGGACAAACAAAGCTTGTCACATCAAATGTGAGCTCTGTTTTCATTATCTGCACCCTTATCTACGTCCATGCCCACTTTACCTCATTTTTTTAAAAAAAGATTTATTTTAGAAAGAGAGAGAGTGTCGTGTGTGTATGTGTGTTTGTGTGTGTGTGTGTGTGTGTGTGTGTGTACATGGGTGGGGGGAGGAGCAGAGGGAGAAGGAGAGAGAGAATCCCAAGCAGACTCTCTGAGCACGAAGCCCACTGGGGCCTTGATCTCATGACCTCGAGATCCTGACCTTAGCCGAAATCAAGAGTCGGACTGCTTAACTGACTGAGTTACCCAGGCACCCCCATCTTACCTCATTCTTACTGGATGAGTGTGATGGGGGCCATTATGTGGAGGTTTTGCCCCATTCCTTTCCTGTTACCTCTAGTACCCGATCCCATCAGCTATTCAATGTGTTATCTAGATCCCCAACCTCCTTCAGTTTTCCCTTTCTATGAACATGCTTAAATCTCTCCCATACTAAAACAAACAAAAAAATCCTGAAAATTCTCCCTCAACCTGATGTCCCTTTCACTTCTATCATCTTTTCTCAGTCAACAGGTCATAATCGGAACACAAGCCAATATTACGCTCAATATTGGGGATAAAAGATGAATGAAACACACTCCCTGCCCTGTAGAAACTCAGAGTTTGGTAGGGGAAATAGTCGGGTAGCTAGGCAGTTACGTATCAGTTTGATGGGTACTCTATTAGGTGGATATACATAGGGCTGTTACACTATAAGAAGGGTCCCAATTGAGCCTGGGTTCTGTAGGATGAATAGGAGTTAGGTCTAGAGATGGGAGAATGAAGAGCAGCAGAGGCAAAGTGCACAGTGTGTGCAAAGGCGTAGAGACTTTAAAAAACATGGGTGACTGGGAGACATCAACTGGTTTCTGTAGAGAACGTGAGGGGCTGGGGGTGCAAGACGAGGCTGAATGGAGGACAAGAGGACAGCCCAGGGAGAGCTTTCTCAGCCATTTTATAAAGCTGGGGATTAATCTTAAAACAATGGAGAACCTGCGAAGTGTTTTGCATAGTTAAGTGGTATGGTCAGATATGTATTTTTGGAGTTTCATGGAAGAAATGTCTATAGTCCACAACATTTTATTTTATTTTTTTTGGAATCCTCTTTTCCCATGGCCTTCTGTGACACCATAATTTCTTGGTTTTCTGTTTATTTTTTCTTAGTCTTTTCATAAGCTTGTCTGTCCATCCTTTCTGTGTTGGCGTTTTTAAGACTCTGACCTAGGCCTTCCTCTCTTTCCATGCTCCTGGCTTGCTCTGGCCAATCTTGATCGGCCACAGGATCTTCTTTCCCATCTACTGACTCCCAGAAACTCTGAGCTGCGGACCTATCTATACCACTAACTGCTCGCTGGATGTCCTTACTTGGATATACCACAGTCACCTTTGGCCCATTGGGTCTATAATTGAGCTCATTATCTTCCTTCATCTGTTCTTTCTCTTATAATCCCTCTTTCTGGTCTTTCAGGCCAAACATCTAGCACTAGCATTTATTATTATTACTATCATTATTATTATTGTATGACATTATGGCAGTTTTTAAAAATGGTCACAAATTCTTTGACACTCCTGCCTTGTGACTGTTTCAACCAATAGAATATAGCAGGAGTGACTTCTGAGGCTGGATCATAAAAGGCTATGCAGCTTCCTTCTGGTTCACTTGGGAATGCTCGTTGTCTGGAAGCTCCCCATCAGGATACTCCTTCTTGGAACCTGGTTGCCACATTGTGAGAGGTGCAAACCACAAAGACTAGTCATGTCTCTGTACTGTGTTTGACAGTCCCAGCTGAGCTCAGCCTTTGAGTTGTACCAGCCCAGGCATCAGACATGTGAAGAGTGAAGAAGCCTCAGATTACACTAGCCACCAGCCTCAAGTCACCCCCAGGCATTCGGGTATCTTATATGAGGCCCCAGGCATCATGGACTAGAGATACATCATTCTTGCTGTGTCTTGGTTGAATTCCCAGAATCTGTGAGCATAAAGAAATAGTTGTTGTTTTACACTACTAAGTTTGGGATGATTTGTTATGCAGTATGGTAGCCAGAACAAACATATATATTAAAAAAGTGCACATTTCCTAAGTATACAGCTTGATGAATTTCATAAAGTGAACACACCCATGTCACCAGCACTCATAAGAACCCCACTCTGCCCCCTTCCAGTCCTTGCTTTTCCAAGCATAATCACTAGCCCGACTTCTAATACCATAGTTGCATTTTGCCTGTGAATGAACTTATATAAACTAAGCATCAGTTTTTAATCCTTTTATTTTCCTTTCATATGCATCCAGGCATCAAGCCCTGGTGCCCTGCCTTCTAATGTCCACATGTCCATTTCTCTGTAACTTTACTACTTCAGTCTGGGCCTTACCAATTTGACCATGTATAAAATTCTTTATAGTGCTCTGTTATCCCAAGGATAAAAATCTAAACTCCTTCACATGGCATACAAATCTCCCATTCCTGACCTCTGTTCATGTCTTCACCCTCATCGCTAGTGTTTCCTCTGCATGTTGCCTGGGCTCCAGACATGCTGTACTGATTGTAGTTCCCAAAGCACCTCCCCACCTGTTGTTCATTCTTCCTTGCCTTGGTATGGGCTGATCCATTTCTTTTCCTTTTTAAATACTTTTTATTTTAAACGAATTTCAGGCTTCAGAATGTTGCAAAAAAGGTGCAGAAAGTTCCCGTAAACTTCTTAGCCACATTCCCCTGTTATCATCTTAGATAACCAGAGTACAATGATCAAAACCAGGGAATTAACATTGGTAATAGTTTGAACTAAACCACCGACCTGATCTGAAACTTTCATTTCTCTTAGTTTACCATACTCTTGCTTGTTTCTCTGTTCAGACATCATTTACTCCTGAAGGTTTCCCTAAGCCCCTTTTGCCCTTCTTTCCCTTAAGGACTGAGGTCTTGGAGGGCAGATACGGGTTCTAATTGATCTGGCTGGCATCCTGCCTGGTGTGGAGGTGCTTACTCCGTGTTCCTTGAGTTAATGAACAGACGGTGTCCAAGGCGGATCACGGGGCAGCAGGCGTTGGGGAAGCTAGGAAGGGGCGGTCATCGGCCGGGTACAGTCCAAGCCGTGCGCGCAGATGGGGCAAAAACGACCTAGTCTGCAGTCAGCCCTCTCGGGCTCAGCTTTTCCACAGGCCCCGCGCACCTACTGACTCCTCCCCTCAGACCTACCTTTCGTGCTAGCTCCGCCCCGTCCAGCCCAGTCTTCTACCCTAAGCACCGCCCAGGACCATTGGCCCCGCCCCTCCACGCTAGTCTTTCAGCCTCTGTTCTCTCCTAAGCCCCGCCCTTGGCCTTTCCGTGCCTCCTAAAGTCGCGTCCCTCCTTAGGTCCCGCCTTCTGCCCTCTGGTTCGACCTTTCCTCCTCAGGCTCCGCCCCCGCCCTACGGGCCTCCGCCTCCCCAGAAGTCTTTCCCTATGACACGCTGGAGTCCTTCGGAGGGGCGGGGCTTACAGCACGAAGGGGCGGGACCCGGGGAAGAGGCGGTACTCCTCGCTCGGAATGCCGTCGGCGACCCCGCCCCGGCGCTCGGCCGTTGCCAGGAAACAAGCATCGGCGCTCCGGCTCTGGCCGGGTCCAGCCAATGAGCTGGCACGCCACTGCCCAGCGGTGCGTCGCTGGGCGGTTACGTGGGGTGCGCGGGGGCGCGGGTTGCGTGTGGCGCGGGGCGGGGCGCGGCTGGTGCGCCTGAGGAGCGATGGCGGCGGCCTGAACTCACCTAGGAGGGCTGCGGCGATCGGGCCTGGTCAGGATCGGGGTTCTGTGAGTGAACGGCAAGTATGGGCCGCAGGGCCCGGAGAGGCCTGTGAGGGGCTGAGGGACTGGGGAATGACGGCACCGGATTTGGTGACTGTACTGGTTATGAGGGGACAGGGTGAGGGGCTGGCATGTGGTAAGGGGCCGGGTGTGAGTGTCTAAGGTAGGGGAGCAGCTTAAGAGCCTAAGGGTGAGCGGGCAAGTGAGGAGCTGGGCAAGAAGAGGGGCTAGGGATGCTTTTCGAGGGGCCAAGGGAAAGGGACTTGTGAACACGGTTTAGTGAAGGGCTGAGGCACCTGTGGGCAGGGGTGAGGGCAACCCTGGGGCCCGAGTGGGGCCTCTGCGGGGAGGGGAGAGTGAAGGGCAAAGGCGGGAGCGTGCGGGCTGGTGGGGAATGGGTGAGGGAGTTGAGGCTAGGGCATGAGGGAAGGAATGAGGATTGTGAGGCTCGGATAAGGTTGAGGTTGGTTTTGGAGCCTACTTCGATGGACTGTCCTGCCCAGTGTCCTGCCTAGTTTCAGACCGAGTAGGACAGCTTGGGTGGAAATGTTGTGCACTTGGCTTTTGGAGGACAGAAAAATGAAGGCGTCATGGGCAGTAATAATTATGATAATGAAAATTATTTTTGAGGCTTAGTTTTCAACCAGAGTAATTACTGAAACTGCCTGTTTCTCAAGTTCCTCTTTGGGACTCCAAACTTGGAGATGGTCCCTCTCATGG